TGGTTCGTCTAGTTTATCCGTCCGTACACAATGCCGACTCTGCGTCTGCTTGACTAAACTTTAAAGTCTTCCTTAAACTATAAGGTAAAATAAAAAACCCATTCAGCTTCCCCATTAATCGAAGAAATGGCTTGGAGAACTTTTCTCCTCAAAGTTTCTGAAAACCTCTTCGATATTCTCTCCTGGTAATTCATTTTTTTCCCCTTTAACAATCCTTTCTGTTGCTTTAGTTATTTGATGCAAAATCTTCTATGGGTTCATTTTTTTCTCACGATCTTTACTGTGTTAATGTGTTGTTCCAAATTCCCTTCCTCTTGAACTGCAGGCCATCCTTTACTCTCGTTTTCCCCTTGTGAGTTGACATCACTCTCTTGTTTCTTATCTTTCATTCTTTTTGTTCACTTGTCTTGAAGATTCATGTTAAGCAAATTGTTCTTCTTTTTTTTTCTTTACAGGTATGCTTCATTTTGGGTTGTGAAGAGTGATTCGCACACCAAGAATCAGCAATGTCTTACTTTCTGGGTTTTATTTGCTCTTTTCACAATATTGGAGCAGGCACTTTCCAAGATTTTTCTATGGTAAATTAAGTCCTTATTTATTCTCGCGCAAGTTAAGTAGTAAGTCATGTTGATCGAATGTGATTTTTGCTACAGGCTTCCATTCTGGCCTTATGCGAAAGGAGTAGCAATTGTCTTTCTGGTGATACCTTATTTTGGTGGTGCTTCTTATATTTACAAGCACTTTGTGAGACCTTATTTATCTGAGAATTCAATGAAATGGATCAACTTATTCCTGCCGAGGAAGAAGTGTTTCCGGTCATGTAGGCAGAATGACTCCGTTGATGTGTCTGACACAAACATAATCGAGGATGTAAATGAAGAGTTGGAGAAATCCGTTTTCCAGGTATGCCCATGACTTGATGATTATACTGATGAAACACTAGCAACCATGCGATATATGGAGGGATGATTTATTGTGTAAACCTACAAATCCAAACATAATTCCAATAGTTTTTTCTGATAGAGCCTTGATATGAAACTACTTGCGAAGTTTGAGATGCATTTTTTTTGTGGTTTTTCCTAACCATCATACAACCTTGTGCCTTGACATGAACTGTATTTTCAGTTGCATTATCTATCTTGCTTGCATATTTGACTTAATTTGTGCACGTTTCTCATGGCACTCTTAAATTTGGGCAATATACTAAATTGCAATCTTAAGCTGGATGGAGATGCAATTCTATCTTTTTGTTTCAATAGCTGCTTCTATGTGTTGTCTTTGTCAGCAAATATTCGAGCCCAATCATGAGAGCGTGGAGAAGGAAATTACTTGGCCAACTAGTCCAAAGAAAGTTCAAAAGGAGTGGAGCTGTGCTGTTTGTCTGACCTGCACTTCCAGTGAAAAATGTTTAAAGAAACACTTTCGAGGGAAGAAACACAAGGCTAATGAAGAAAATCTACGAGCTGAAGGACTTGTGAGGGACACATACAAGTCTTCTCTGACAGAAAAGAGAGAAACTAGGCTGGTTTTACTTGGGGACCTAGTCAATCTTGAAACATGGGGTGATCTCCTAGGCCCTGTTGCCAGATCAATTAGATGGTGCCGATGGAAAAGACCAGATTTTGGATGGATAAAATTAAATACTGATGGATCCATAGATAAAGAAAATGCTGGTCTTGGTGGTTTGTTCCGTGATTACGAGGGCAACGCAATATGCGGTTTTGTATCTAAAGCTCCTGGACATGATATATTCTTGGTTGAATTGTGGGCTATATGGAGAGGTTTAGTTCTAGCATTGAATCTGGACATTCAAGTAGTTTGGGTTGAGTCTGATGCACTGAGTGTTGTGAAAACCATTAACAGGCAGCAGCCATATAGTGGGAAGGCTGATGGTTGCTTGAAGCAAATCCGGCTTCTTTTAAAGAAGTTTAAGAAGTATAAGGTTTCTCACTCATGGCGAGAAACTAATAGAGCAGCTGATTATCTTGCAAGGATGGTTGTTGAGAGAAATGATGTGGTTTTGTGGCCTGCCGATTTTCCTAATAGCCTTCACAACATTATCAAGGATGACGCTCAAGGAAAGGTATATTGTAGGCGGTAATTTCAGACGCCAGCTGTTATTGTTTATACCATTAGAATAGAAGACTTAGCATTTCGGTTCTAAAGAGGTCAAGGAATAGGACAGCTGTGTATTGTTAGGCTTAGAATGACTTGAGTTTTGGCCCGGCTTGAACATGGTGGATATTGAAACCAGAAGCAGCTGTGTATTGTTAGGCTTAGAATGACTTGAGTTTTGGCCCGGCTTGAACATGGTGGATGTTGAAACCAGAAGCAGCTGTGTGGGGAAAAAAAAGTCATTTTGTGTCATGATAGTCCATGTCTGTTCTCTTCGCTATAAATGTTATGATGAAAGTGTATCCTTGGTCTCTTTGTTATGATAGTCCATATCTGTTCTCCTCGCTGTAAATGATATGATGAAAATGTATCCTTGCTTTGTTCAGATTCGAGGATGTTTGCACATATTCTTGGCTAAAAAGTCATTATTTAGAGCTCTCAACTCACACACAGACTAATTAATCTTGGTCCTGCTACCGACAAAGTTCCAAACAACCCTACAGCAACATCAAATTTCAAATACAATTAAGCAAGATAAAATAATATCATAAAAATTAAACATTTTTCAGTGCCCACTGGCCACTTCCCCTGCTTTGCTTAGCACTTAGCAGAATAATAACCCGCCAAATTATTATGCTCCCCTGTTTGAGGGGGAAAAAAAAACACCTCAGAATTATAAATTGAATGAACAGTTGTATGGTACGTGGTGTCGTTGTTTTAAAATTTGACGGGTAAATGTAATGAAAAAGGAGAGAGAAAAACGTTCAGATTTTGGTCGAGAATGAACCCATTTCAGCCTTCATCACATAAATTTAATTCAATTTTAGGTATTTAAGAGCTAATAAATGGATAAAAAAATTAGACTGAATGATGCAGTGACTTTATATGGGGAAAACTCAGCTAGAATGAAGAGTGGAAGGAGTGACTTTATATGGGGAAAACTCAGCTAGAATGAAGAGTGGAAGGAGCTGCGATGGAGATGATGAGCTAGAGGAAAATCAATTAATCAAGCTGAGTGGAAGAGTTAACAAGGATGACAGCTAAGCAAGGAAATAGCCATTGGAAACTACTAGACGTTAGTAAATAAATGAGCTAACCAATTATTGTTAGAGGGTTAGCAGTCAGTTAGGGAAATGAAGGAATAATAGGAATGCCGAGAATGGGGGAATCAGCTAGGCAGAAATTGTATTCTCTCTCTCCTCTGTGTTTCCTCTTCCTCTCTCTCCCTTTCTGCATTTCTTACTTTGTTCTTCATTTCTGTAAAATCGTATTTGTAACTTACAGATACTCTGTTTGGATTTAATTTGGAAAGTGTTTGTTAAACCTTTGGTTTTCAATTGATTTTATAAAGATTTCAATTCGTGTTTGTTCTTGTAATTCTCTAAGGGTTTGTTCATTGGTTGTATTGTGAGTTGTATCACTGAAACTACGATTTAGAGATGAAAATCGAAATTTGATTTGGTGATTTGTTGTTATGTTTCAAACGAGTTCATATGAAAGTCTCTATGATAACGAGGATTGTTTTTATCTGAAAAAAGAACACAAATCCAGTTTTAGGAGAAAAAGCCAGCAGCTTGTGGTTTTCTAATCAACTTTCAACTGATTGGAAAGATTTTGAAGAAACAATGTATGACGTGTCGTCTGCTTTCCTTTTTATTTTCACTTATTTTTTCTTTAATTATTTTCATTTCTATTATTATTGGATTATTTAATTTGATCTCAGCAAAATTTTTGGAAGGTTTTTTCTTTTCCAATTAAAAATTTAACTAGGTTAAATATGATATGCTTTTGTTTTTTGTTTTTTGTTTTTTTGTTTTTTTCAAAACCCATCTTTATTATTATATTAAATATTTATTTAACAATCTTTAATTATTTTTAACTTATTTGTTTTAACACATCCTTAGTGCTATAAAAATAATTATATCAAATGATTCAGATTCATTATAATATATAAGAAATTATTGACTCTCAATCATTTTAATTCCATCCCTTAATTTAAAATTTTATTTTACCTTTTTCATTAAAATTTTTATTTTTTCTTAAATTATGGAAACCTTTCTTAAATACCATTTACTTTGTTGTTAAGTCTGGAGTTTTATTAAAAAATTTAAAGACTCAATACATTCAATCATACAATCAATTAAAAAATAATTTGAATATAATGTATTAAAAAATAAAATTATATAACATACCCGAATTAAAATATACAAAATTATTAAATAATGCAAACTAAAAAAATGATGCTTGGATGATTTTTTTCGTACATATGTCTCTGTCTTGACGAGATTATTATTTTGCTATTTTTTATACTTCATTATTATTTTTCTATTTTTTATACTTATTGATATGAAGTGCTTTTCATATTTCTACTTAGTATTGAATATACTTTTCTGGATTAAATTTGATTAACTTAATTCTTTCATGATTTATTAACATTTTTAAAAATAATTCAAATGGCTCTGTGACAACGGCGGACGCGTTTTCTAGTTTCTTTCTTTCACGGACCAGATAGAGACGGGATTTTATTTTTATTTTTAAATAGAAAAAGGAAAATGACGTATAATTTGGGGCCGGGGCCGGCTCACCTTCACCCATTGTCTACTAATTAAAAGCAGTATCATAATAAGTAACATCAACGGTCGTATAAATTTGAATTTTGAAAACCTAAAATCGCACTTCCTCATCAGCACAACAGGGAAAGAAAACGAAAGAACATAACAAATTAAACACGCTCCAAGCTTTCTTTCCCTTTTCTCTTCTTGCAAACAAACAGACTATTCAAAATTCTCTGTCAGATCCCAGAAATTCGAGCCCCTAAAAGACACTACTTGTCACGAAAATCCTTCAAACGCCAACAACCCAATTTTTTTATAGATACCAAGAAAATGGACACTGACCCAACTCACGGCCAAGATTTCATGGATTCCATGCTGTGCGTTTTGGGTTCGAGACTGATCCAGTCAGGGTTAATAAACGCCACCCTTTTCAAAGGTTTCATTTTTCTTTCTTTAATGAATACTAAACCCTGCTTTTGCTTTCTTCAATGTTACAGTTATTAACAAAAAACTTAAAGATTTAATGTTTAAGCATGAATTTTTGTGTTTCTTGAAAAAGAGAGTCCAGTGATATTTGTAAATGCGGGAGGCGGGGCTATAAAGAGAGAAGGGAATATCAATCTTGATATTCAGAAAGATTGCTGTTTTAAAGGAGGAGATGTTCTAAGAACAGATGAGAGCATACTTAATGGTGGTGATATGCCTTGCGTTTATCAATCAGCAAGGTTTGGTACCAACTTGAGTTACAAGTTCAATGACATGCCGGTTGGAGAGTATTTGGTGGATCTTCATTTTGCAGAGATAGTTTACACTAATGGTCCTAAAGGAATGAGAGTCTTTGACGTCTTTATCCAAGAAGAGAAGGCAAGTCTACTTGGTCCTTTTCTTTCTTCAGTTTTTCTGATTTTTTTTCGAGTCCATTTATATGTTTTAATTCAAGATTTTTTTTTTTTAATGGCAGGTTATATCAGAGCTTGATGTATACTCTGTTGTTGGTGCCAATAAACCATTGCAAGTGGTGGATGTTAGGGTTTCTGTTGGGGAAGATAGGGTGATTTTTATAAGGTTTGATGGGGTTGTAGGGAGCCCAATAGTTAGTGGGATTTGTATAAAGCAGGCGACAGAATTGCCTAGTAAAGTTCTCGTTTCCGTTTTATATTTGCTACATTGTTCTATTCTTTATGGGTTCGTTTTTGAGACTCAGATGTTTCTTATCTTATAAATTGAATGCAGAATATTCGGTTGAACAAAAGTTTTTAGTGTGTAACAATTGTGCCGCCGAAGTAAAAATTTCATCTGTTCAGGTTAGATGCAATTTGTATTCAAGGGTAGCATTTTGAAATTTGAAGTGAAAACTTCGAAATTTTGCTTAAAATTAGCTTTTAATTGATGTGTTCTGCAGAATAAATTAACGAGGATGAACGCTTTAGCAAAGTATGAAAAGAAGATAAAAGAGTTGAAGGCTCAATGCCAACTCAAGACAGATGAATGCTATGAGGCTTGGATGTCACTGACCGCTGCGAATGAGGAACTGGAGAAGGTTAGGATGGAACTCGACAATAAGTTCTTCAGAAATATGCAATTAGGTAAGACAGACCCAATTGGGTTTAAGGCTTGTTGCTAGAAACTGAAGTGATACTGACCAGGTTTTGATGTTTATTTAGATCAAGCCATACAAAAGCAAACAGCAGAATTGAGGGATGTTTCTATTCGATATGAGTGTGATAGGAAGCTGTGGGCGGCAGCCATTGATGATTTTGAAAAGAAAATAAAGGTAAATTACTTTTAGACTGAAAAAATGTCAAGTATGTGGAAAGATGTTTGGATAACAATTTTATAGTTTGTGATAATTCCATTTGTCGATCCATTGCTAGATGATGAAGATTGAGCACTCTCAACTCTCCCATGCAGCTCATGCTTGTGCCAATACAATTCCTGAATTAAATAAGATGATAATTGCAGTTCAAGACATAGGTAAACTTGCATCAGCTGTAAAATTAAATTGACAGACGAAAAATTTTTAAGATTTTTATCCAAATTGCAGTTGCAAAACATGAAGACCTCAAACTGAAGTTAAATGAAGAGCAGGCAAAGAGTAAGAAGCTTTATAACCAAGTGCAGGAAGCAAAAGGTATATTTAATATTCTAAACTTCGATTCATTCTTCTCATTGTTGATTGAGCCATGTAAAGTTTTTTTTTTCCCTGATTTAATATCTCAGGGAACATAAGAGTGTTCTGTAGGTGCCGCCCGTTGAGTAAGGAAGAAGTGTCAACTGGGTATCAAACAGTGGTAGATTTTAGTGCAGCTAAAGATGGGGATCTTGCAGTAATTGCAAGTGGCTCCACAAAGAAAATTTTCAAATTTGATCGAGTTTACACTCCTAAGGACGATCAAGGCATGTACCTCTAAAATGCCTTTTCTTTTCTTTTTCTTCTTTTTTGTTTTATTGTCAACTTACCGAATAATAGTAGCTGCATTTTAGTTTGTTGGTGCAACTTGGCTTTCGAGATGTATCATCCAGTGCTACTGATTTGATTGATGTTTATAGTAAAGCATTTCTTCTTTCTCTGAGATTTTTTTTTTTTTTTTTTTTTTTTTTTTTTTAAACTTCAACAGCGCACACGGTGAATATTTTGTTTATTATGCAGTTTCTATTTTTTAAGGCAATTCTATTTTCCAGATGCATCCTGGTTTTGATGATTACTTTAATACTTGATCTAAGAGATAGAAGCAGTTCATGTTGTATCTCTTCAACACTAGGCATTAGAACCCTATTATTCTGGTGGATCAATACGTTACCAGATCTAAAGTCTTGAAATCAACATAATATCATGCATATCCTTCCCCCATTATCTCCTCATCTTCCTATTAATTGGCTCCAGCTTACTTCTTCGCTGCTTTCACTAATGGAACCCTGTCAAATTGGTATCAAGTCATTTTACCCGGTTCTCCCAATCCTTGGACAATTATGCGACTTTCTGAGAAGAGGTGATGGTAGCTTTTTATTGAATTTGAACAGAACACCTTCGGAGGAATCTCCTCCAAAACTATGTCATTTGTAGTTTGGTTAGTTTTGCACAACAAATTAGTCAAAGAAAGAATCGGTTGTTTATTTAATTTACTTTGCTTAGGGTGAAAATGAAAAATTCACTCGTTGTCTATTGTTTTTTATGCCCAAACAGTTGATGTCTTCGCGGATGCTTCTGCTATGGTGACCTCAGTGTTAGATGGTTACAATGTTTGCATATTTGCATTCGGGCAAACTGGAACCGGAAAGACTTTCACTATGGAGGGTACGGAGCAAAACCGAGGAGTCAACTACAGAACTTTACATCAATTATTTAAAGTTGCTGAGGAAAGGAAAGAAACTGTCACTTATGACATTTCTGTTAGCGTGCTTGAAGTTTATAATGAGCAAATCAGAGACTTGCTTGCCACCTCAACAACAACAAAGAGGTATTATCGTTATCCTACAAATTCCATTTGATTACTCAAAACTATCAACTTCTAATATTATTGTTGGCAGAGAATATGTATGGTCTTTATGATTGTTTTCGTCATGCAATTGTTGAATTAACATGATTTCATCTAAAATTCTCCGTATTTTAGGTTGGATATAAAACAAGTGTCTGATGGGGTCCATCACGTGCCAGGGATAGTTGAAGCAAAAGTTGAGGGTATTAAGCAGGTCTGGGATGTTTTGCAAGTCGGAAGTAATTCAAGGGCTGTGGGGTCAAACAATGTGAATGAACGTAGTAGCCGATCTCATTGGTCAGTGCCTATCTGAACTTTGGTTTTTGTCGTGCTTAAGTGTTCATTGCTAAAGTTTACCTTCATGATGAAACTTTCTCCATATATATATATATATATATTTGTATTGCAATTTTTTTTTCACCAATACTTTGCTTTATGTTAACAGAATAAAGTGTGAAATATATGCATATATTGACATTACCATATTCTTATCTTGTTTAGCATGCTTTGCACAATGGTAAGAGCAAAGAACCTGGTAAATGGTGAGTGCACAACGAGCAAGCTATGGCTTGTGGACTTGGCAGGCAGTGAGAGGCTAGCAAAGACAGAGGTTCAAGGGGAACGACTTAAGGAAGCTCAAAATATAAACAGATCACTTTCAGCTCTTGGGGATGTTATTTCTTGTTTGGCAAATAAGAGTAGTCACATTCCATTCAGGTTTTCGAATCTTGATGAGAAATATTCAAATATGACTTGCTAATTCAATTATTCTGACTTCCTCATTTGGCCTTTGACAGAAACTCGAAGCTCACCCATTTACTCCAGGATTCGTTAGGTAATTACCTACATGAAATACAAGTTCATTTCCAGTACCAGAACCCACTAATATATCAGCAAATTAGCATCAGAAATGTTCTTTTACTTACAGCATATCAAAGTGATCTTTTTGTTTTAAAAATGGAGTTATTCCAAGAGACTGGAGTGATTTAGCAAATGATGTCGTTACAGAAAATGATAAGGGATAGATCTTAGAACATAGAATATAGTAGATTTCTTAGAACATAGAATATAATAGACGCATTCAGTTTGTAATGTTGTCATTGTTAACAAGTAATAAAGCATTGAAATCCTGTAAAATATATAGTGTAGGCAGTGTAGGAATGCACGAGTTTGGCTGCGAAACTATATGCTCAGAAAATCCAAGTGGTTTCTTGTCATGAACTCACTTAAAATCATTTAGAGGCTTAGGACTTATATATTATAACAAGATTGATGATCATCTGAGACTTTATTCTAATCCATGTTTTGCAGGTGGTGATTCAAAAACCCTTATGTTTGTGCAAATCAGCCCTTCTGATCATGACATAGGCGAGACTCTAAGTTCTCTAAACTTTGCAACTCGAGTTCGAGGGGTTGAGTTGGGTCCTGCCAAAAAGCAGATTGATATGGGTGAGCTTCAAAAGCTCAAAACAATGGTAAGTCTATAGATAATCAGGGATATTTTATTATATAGATGAAGTGAACGAATCATCAACTAGTTTTTATTCTTTTTGTGAATTCTTTGAAGCTTGATAAAGCAAAACAAGAATTGAGATCTAAAGATGACGCCATGCGCAACCTAGAAGCGGGTTTTCAAAATTTAGAAGGTAAGGCCAAAGTCAAGGATCAGCTTTTCAAAAATCAACAGGAAAAGGTTAATGAACTAGAGAATCAACTTGCATCAAAGACAGAGTTATGCAGACAGCTAGAGAAGCAGCTGTTACAACTTTCAGAAGTAAAGAAGGGAAATGAAGAAATTTTCTCGATTTTCCAGCAGAAGGTTGATTGTTAGATTATTGGTGTTTTACATCATACTGTTTCTTGGATATATAATCTGACTTGTTGACTCCAAATGCCTTCTGAAGGTCAACGAACTCGAGACGAAGCTGAAAGAGCAGGAAGAAGCAGAGTCCATGAATCTTCATTACAAGGTTTCTACAATCTCAACTCATAATAGAAAATTTTAAAGGTTTGTAAAGCAACTCAGGACAAGAGGAGTGTATAGCCAGGTGGTTGGATGCAGTCACCTACTTTCTTGGGGTTGAAACACCAATTCCCCTCCATCTCCCAGTGGCACACACTGATGCTAAAAGAAATTGGATGTCTTAGATCTAATGGATCTTCAAATAATATTATTCTTCTGATCATGGTGGTTCATATTAATCTATATTTTATGCTGCCTTAGTATGAAGTAAAAAATTTACTGGATTTTAAGCTGACGATAGAAATTAATCAGCAGTACTGTTGTGCGATCACTTGAGCAATGCTAATCAATCATTTGTTATGTTTGTTATTCCTTTTGGCATTATGAATTGATTTTGATGTTGTGAATATGAAAGGAAACACACTTCATTTTGTTGTCAGACTGATAGGGAGTTTCTTCTGCTATACAGGTCAAGGAGCTTGAAAACAGAATGAAAGAGAGAACACAGGAGTATGAGCTTCATACAAAGAGACTCCAACAAAAGGTGATTATACTGCGATGTCTTGTTAAATTTCCTCGTATTTTCAGTTTCCCTCTTGCACACAGACACAATGAGTTTCTTTGGCAGTAGCCACTCATAAAGGGTAAACCGGTGAAGGCTGAAGTATTGAAAGAGGTTTGAGATGACAGTGCTCTTTTTCATTGCAGAAGTAATAGTCTCCCAAGTAGATCTGCTACCTAAAAGGACCAACGGATCAAATGCTCCTCTCTTGTTATGCAGTTTGTTATGAAATCCACCAGTGTAGCACATGGTTAACAACTTTTTTTTTTGTTGCGTTTTATAGTTGAAGGAAGCTGAAAACAAACCATGGGGAAAAGAAAATTCCGAATCTCGGTTGCTTCAACAAAAGGTTTTTTTTTTTTCCTATATTATAAATTTATATACAACCTTTGTGGAAAGTACTGACCATTACGATGCAGCAATTACATTTTCGTTATGATTTATGACAGATCAATGTTCTTGAAGAAAAGCTAAGACAACTTGAACATAGAGATTGTTTGCCAATGCCACCACCCTCTGCTGAAAAGTCGGAAGCCACTCCAGTTTTGTCAAGAGCGGAAACCATAAATGACGTTGATCCACTTGGTCAAAGAAGCTTAAACCCCTCTAACCGAACAATAAACCAAGAATCTGGCTTGCTCAAGGGAACGGCATCCCTTTGTGAGTTAAGGAGAAAAAGAGACATCCAGAGCAAAGGGATGGAGAATAATTTCTTAATATCAGCCACCTTACTCGAGAAGAAGAGATTACCAGCTGAATCAAGTAAGGAAAGGCATCCTGACCCTTCTAGAGCATTAGCAAGGATTACTAGAAGTACAAAACCAGTTAGTACTACTCAGAAGACACACTCCAATACTGCTAACAGAATAAACAAAGATCAGGCTCCAGGAGCAAGGGATAGCAAATTCAAGGTTTGGTTGAGGTAGAAGTTTACAAGTGGAAGCAAGTGCAATTTCTCTGGAGCTTTTATCAAGCTCTTACTTACATGTAGCAGAACATAGATTAGATGGTGTTGTTGAACATAAATGCTGTTTGCATATTTACATTTCTAATGTAAAGAATGAGCAATGTTTTGCATATGTTCTCTTTTTTATCCAATAATATTTTTTTCCCTAAAGGAACTAGAAAAATGCCATATAATACCTTCCATACAAGTAGAATTACATGAAAAATAAATTGATAGGAAATGTAAAAATTTATGACATATTTTATTTTATGTACAAGAGTAATAAAAACAAAAAAGATAAATGAATAAAAGAAATTAAAAAAAAAATAGAAATCATATGAAAAAACAGAAAACTAAATTAGGCTTGGAACCAAGATCAGGCCGAGCATTTGCTACGGTCCGAATCCAACCATTTGACAGAAAAAAAAAAAAAAAAAAAAAAGAGAGAGAGGAGTTATGCCCATATAGATAATGCATACGATGAATTTTATATTATTCATTGAGTAATTAATGTAAATTACTTCATAAAAGAGAGAAAAAAAATTAATCCTCGGTGAAAATCTTCTTATTACTTTTCATAAGTTACATATTATATTATACTATAAACTAAAATAAAATAGTTAACTGTAGCAATGAACAGTGATTAATACTGTTCATTGCTACAGTGTTTTTTTTTTTTTGCCAATGCTGGCCATCTGTCCCCTGTTTTCCGTTTGCTGTTCATTTTGAATAGTAAACCACCCCCCCCCCCCCCCTCATTTTTTTTCTTTCTAAACACTGAACATTTCTTTTTCTTTTTTTTTTAATTTCCTTCCATTTACATGAACAGTAAATTCCTGGCTCCTTTTTTTTTTTTTTCTAAAAATTGAACCTTTTTTTTTTTTAATTTTCATTTCTTAATAATGTTAGGTCTTAAAATTTTAAATGAACCAACAATTAATTGGTTGTTAAAATTTTAATGAAACCAATAATTCATTTATTTTATTATTTATTTCTAAAATTTAAAAACACAAATAAGAAATAGTTAAATATAAAATTTTTTATAAAAAAATTATAATTATTTTTTACTGTAAAACATATTATTAAACTAAAATAATTTTTCTAAATAATTTTATCCAACCCGAAACGTAGCGCAAGTGAAAAATCTAAAATATATAAAAGCCAATAAAATGCCTATTATATATGTATAATAATTATGTCCAACATTTCAAAATTTCTCCCTTATATATCACTTTCTACCTAAACATTACTAGATATCCGTAAATCCCATCAAATTCTTTAAGAAAAGATGGCAACAACTTACAAAATTCATTTTTTATTTGGATTTTCATACTTGTCGTCTTCCTAAATACAAATCTAACCTCATCAAATTTTAAATAACTGATCAACACAAAATTCGAATTGAAAATTCTAAATCTAAAAATTCAAATCCACCTCTCATTTACATATTGAAATGATTTAACCTTGATAGATTCGAAGTGATTTATGTCTTCATCCCCAATGTTCCTCGTAAATAGATTAGTACGAACTTCATTTCTGCTAGTTTTATCGCCATCTCCTCAAACCAACCTGTTCAAGCACCAGCCTCTACCAATGTAAATGCCAACATATTTCACAAAATTATTATCGCGAGCCCAACGGCCCACCAAAAAATGAGATGGTGAATTTATAAGTTATGATAAATCAGAGGTTCGATGCAACAAATTCTCACCATTACCTCAGTGCGTAGAGAGATCATGGTACAATTCTGAGAGGGACGACGACATTAAATCGAAGTACTTATTTTTCTCCCCCCTGATGACAATTTGTTACCCTATTGTGGAAAAACATGCAAGGACATCAATTACCGAACAAGGCAGAAAACGAATTTTGGGTAAGATTGAAAACCAAAAGCAAACAGCACAGATTGGCAAATTGAAAAACTGCCAAAGGATTTCCCATAGCCAATTATAGGACGACTGTACAGTATATTAACATGTTTCAACTCAACGTCTTAATGCCACGGAATTCTTTCTAATCATGGCCTGTGACACATTTATCTACAATAACAAACCACCCCTCCCCAACACACACGCCCAACTTAACCGAATCCAAACCCTTCATTGGCTTCATGAATGGCAAGTAGCAACCTCTCCTCCAAATGTTGTTTTGAAGGATATTCCGGTAAATCCAATTGATTAAAACTGCAAGAATCAGTTGGTTAGGTTAGGATCTAACCTTCAACATAAAATTAAATTGGAGTGAAGCAATTGCAGCCAGAGACATGATTATCACATATACTCTAAAAAACAAAAATATGTCTGAGTACAAGATTACCAAGTATGAGCAGAAGGCAAATGATCAGGGCTCCCATATGCCTTGTGTATCTGGAACTTCTGTGAACCTGAGATTCCTTGAAGGGCACTAAAGCCTTCCAATGGTACCTGGAAGAGGAAGAAAGAACAAATCTTAAAAGACATTTTAAGAGTTCCCTCACTTTATTGAAGTCAATGATCCAAACTCCAAAGCATAAAAAAAAATGTCAACAACAATTCCCCAAAATTATGGATTTATCTCCAAGAAAAGTTTTTAGTATGCATATTATAATCTTACCAAGATGTTAGTGATCCTGTCAACAGCTACTTGATAACAAAAAGCATGAATCTAACAAAATAACAAATAAGCAAGCGCCAAATAAAATACCTTTGATGTGCCTGTCACAAACTGCAGAAGCCGGGCCTTATCCTCCTTGCTGAATCCTTGAGCCACCTCCCAGAACCATTGTATGACAGGAGATGCAGGACTGTATCCAGAGTACTCAGTGTTGGCCCTCATGTCATCCACTGGAAGACATCAATAAAGAGCAATCTTTTAGAACCTTGTTTCTTATATTGCAATTTTTTTGGATAGAAGATAGGGGATGAAGAAATATCATCACAGATGAAAGGACAACAGAAGGGGAAAAACTTACAATCAATATCTGGAAGTCCACTTATCAATAATTCCAACTCCTTGTCATTAAAAATTGAAATTAATTCCCTAGCAATTAATTCATTGAATCCTTCCAAGAAGGCATTTATTTGAGGACGAATAGCGGTAGTCAAACGATGCTCAGCAACTAAATCAACATACTGATGCTTATTCTCCTCAGTGACTTTCATGTTACGCCCACCAGGAGTCAGTTCATAGTCCGTTACCTACATTGCGTTCATCAAACTTGATCATTAAAAATACATCTTGCATGAAAACTTGGCTTACAGAGTCAGTGCAAAGTCATTACCTCGTTTTTTTCATACAGTATAAGCTTCTCCTCATCAGCATCAATGCTGAAAGTGAGATCCAAAACATCGCTTATATCATTCTGCAACAATGAAGTAGGTGAATAAGTTTCAAAGTGTGTGTTTGTACAGGGGTGGGTTGGGGGTTCTTAATGGACACTGAGTATACCTCAAGCATCCACTTCAGGTTCTTAAAGTAATCAGGATCAATAGCTTCAATGTCATGATATGTCACTTTAGCTCCTAAAATATGCTTGTAGAAAGATCGAGTAAAATGGACATCCAAAAGTTGCCCATCAAAAAGTGCTTTCCCAACCTGCCAGACATAGACAAGTCATTCGGAGGAGAAAAAAAAGAAATAACCTCGATCAAACGAGAACATCTGGAAATGATACTCACAACTCTCCCAACAAATTTGAAGTATGATAGATGTTCTGTTTGATAAACTGAATTTGGGTTAGGCTGAAACGTTGATTCATTGCCCACTGTTGTAAAAAGTAGTGCTCCTTTGTCAAAGATAACTCTGGACAACAACTGATACCATTCCCTCGTCAGTCCACCGGCATCAATACCTTCCTCTCCTTGAAAATGAACAGTTAGCCTCCCTTTCAAATCGTGGGTTGATCGCATGCGAAGTTGATTATATGAATCTTCAAGAATGTAAGCTCTTCTCACAGAAATTCTCAAAGGACTATGATGATGATCATGCTGGTGTTTTATTTTTGATCTGAAGTGGGCACGCTTATTGTCAAAATCAACAAAGCGTGGAACCCTCAGCATGAGTGAGAACGACTTCTCAAGCAACCCGGGATTTTGACGGATGAAAGCATTAAGAAGCTTCCTGTGTTTCTCTGAGAACTTGACAAAAGCAATGTGTTTCTCATCAACTTTCAAACCAGGGACAGAGGTTTTCTGCTGGGTGGTAGGTGTGCTTGCATCTTCAACCTCAGAAACTGTAATGCTATAGTCATGGCTGGAACCTGGCTGTGAGGGATGCAACTTCTCACACATCACAAAGAAGGACTCTATGTATGGTAAGATGTTCTGTGATCCTGCAGGAAGTGGAGGCATTACACCAGATGTCTTAGATGTAGAAGCTCTCAGTAGCAAGTCAGGAGCGGAATCTGAATAGATCTCTATTTTGCTTATGCAGGTGCTCAGCTCTGACCACAAAGGCTCTAAAGCTCCATTGATGTCACATACCAGAGAGAGAGCAGCCATATACTCCTTCTCTGGAGGAATCTGCTGATCCTTCTCTTTCTCAACTAATGAAGCAACAAGAGAGCTTAATGCCTGCAGAACCCTTAAAATTGCAGCTCCATCAGAAGATGTGGTACTGAGAAGTGCCTTCACAGCTTCACCGAACACACGTAACTCATCCATGGCAGATTTAGTCAAAGTTTGAACAGCATCTGCTAGCTCAGTAATAAATAAATGACAGTGAGTTGGGGCAATCGCAACCAACTTCTTCATTACCTCCGCCACAAGAGCATAAGCATTATCTGACAAACTGAGAAACATAGTGGGTCAAGACAAAGGCACAAACATATGTGAAAAATAGATCCTAAACCTCTAAATTAATGATGATACTAACAGCAGACAATAGAAAAACTAAAGTTGTTGAGGAAAAAATTTGTCAACTGAGCTATATTGTGGAAAAAAATGATAAAACTTCGAATCCATGATATTTCCAGGCATGACAAGCAGATAATGCTAGAAAATTTTCCAGAAAGATATAAACAACCATTTGTGGATGTAAATGAGCACAAGAACCACACAAAGCATGAAAAAGCATGTTAAAGTTACATCATACCCTTCCCGTGCTAGCAATGAGCATAGAAGGCGAAGTTCTGCTTGTGGAAGGTTAAGCAGTATGTTTTGAGCATCGGATTCACTATTTGCATCAGAAGAAGTGGGTTTGGAGGATGATGAACCAGCAATCCCTGGATTGGCAGCACCAACTTCAGTATTCATTTCAGCATCTGAACTAGAATTTTGAGGGACAGATGGCTGTTCAGTGGCAGCCTCGGATTTATCAGATAGACTTGTCTTGTTTTCAGCATTGTCAATGATAACCTCCAATAAATTAAGTAGCTGCAAAAGAAATGAACGTCAATCAATCTCCACTTTGGAGTCCCAGGAACATGCTACAAGAGATTGATCTAAAACCAACACTATGTGAAACATCACCTGTTCGAGATGTGCTATGCTCCTCAAATAAAGAGGTTGATTCAAGAGGCTCAAAAGCAAGGCGATGGGTATGCATCCTTCCTCATGCTGCTTTCTATCGTCTTCCCTTTCAATCAACACCGCTTTGCCACGTGCTTGCTCAGTATTCTCTGGCTCCCCTAGTGCAGGGAGAGGCAGTCTAAACAGAAGCAAAATTTTGGCCACATAGGGATGGTTTCGAGCCAAGTAAGTCAACATCTCAAGGATACGCCGGGAAAGCAAGGGTGGAACTCCTAGTTGAAAAAAAAAAAAAAAAAAAAAACACAAAATATTATATGTATATGCTAGCTACCTCGTGTACCAATAATACAAGACATCATTAGGAGCACAGAAACTCCTTAAATAAGCCATCAAGAATTAGGTCTCTAGAGTTTCAGGCACATAACTGATGATCATTGCAAACTTAACACACCACGCACACCCAGAGAGAAAGAGATAGAGAGAGAGAGAGAGAGATTTTCATGGTGTAAGTTAGATGTACAAACACGATACAAGGTAATGACCCAGACAAAAGAAAGAGCCGACCACCTTCCATAGTGCAAGAACCCATAGCATACAAAAACACAACCCATCTTTATTTGAACGAGACATCTATCTAATCATAATAAATAGCAAATAAAAATGGAACATCAAAAGGATACACATTAAATTACAAATATTACCATCAAAAGACTGCGGACGAGAATACATCACATTGCTCTGGCAAGCATAGAGTCGATACATTGGTTCAGCAAGATTTGAATAATTGGCAGGCTTTCTTTTATCAACCATCAGCATACCCATAAGGATTTTTACCAAAGTAGTTCTGGTTTCACCATGAGCACATAAATTCAAGAGAAGCCTCTGCAATGGACCTTTATACAGTGGCTGCAAAATTATGCAATTAGTACACTCTTCAGAAAGGAGATGGTCCATACTATTAAAAAGAAAAGGGAAGGAAGAAAGAGGACTGCACAAAATAAAGCAAATAAATTCTTTATTGAGTACCTGAACTATGCGAAGCACCCGAATCATTGCTTGGAGAGACTCTGTTTCAACTAAAGGAGCTCCATCAGCTTCAACAAGCTTAGCAGTCATAGACCTGCGTGAGGCAATCCCAGCTCTCTCCAGGCTGTATCCAATACCTTCACCCCGTCGAGAATTCTCACCCCTACGACTTCTAGGGTACATACCAAAGAGATTACGATTGCTATAACGGTGAGCAAATCTTTCACGCAACATGTTAGCCTCCGCAACAAGGGCAGGTGTGAGATTGGCAAGAATAGCATCAGATGATGTTAACAGAACCTGAGGATGGAAATATAGTTATATGTTCACTTCACATATCGAACAAATTTTATGACTAAGGCACAACAAGGAATGTACCTCTTCACGCAAATCTGAGGGGAATGTTGCAATGATTGAGACTGTGTCCATTTCAACAGGTTGACCTTCCAGTTCATGTGATTGATGAAGTCTTTGGGCTTGCTGTTGAGCTAAAACCTCTGCTCGGATGTCTGGGGGAAGGGCTGCAAGGAACTCTGGATCAATATCTCCTGTGTTTTGTGGTTCAGCATTTGAAGGCTGCGACCCTTGACCCTGTTGAGCAGAGAGGACTTCAGCCCGCAATTCCTCAGGAAGGGCATCCAAGAATGCAGGGTCAATTGATCCAGAACCAGCATCACCACCAATCTGCTGCTCCACAGCTGGACCATCTTGATCTGCTTCCCTGCTAGAGTTTTCTGAAACCTCAGTCACACTATGAAGAGATGCGTCTCTCCCAGTTGCAGGAGTAGAATTTCCAAAAGACACATTAGTTCTTCTTATCCGAGTTGACTGTGGATCCAAAGGCATTCTATCTGCTGAACCTTGCCTTTCTCCACCATCATCATGACCATCGGCACTTCCAATTTCAACATCAAGGCTCCGAAGGCTTTCCCCTAAAGTTGCCCCACTTTCACTGCTTGCTTGGCTCACTGCTTCAACATCGCGGACAGCAGCATCATTCTGTTCTAACTGCATTTCGACAGACTGTGTATGAGAATCCCTTGCTGCTGGTCTTATCTCAACATTGCCAGATCCATCAACTCCTACGGAGGTGGTAGGTGGTGCAGTGCTGCCCTCATGGTTTGCATTGTTTTCAACTTGGATAAGAGGATGTGTGCCTGCTTCTGGTTCCTGTAACTGAATGTTCTCACCATTATGTTTAGGCTCCACTATTGATGTGTTCGGATCAGAGAGTTTCTCTGTGGTCGGCCGTCTCAAATGAGAGACAAGCAACTCCTCAAGGCCTGCAGGTACAGACGCATTAGATCCACCACTTTGCTGATTGTCATCCATCCACAAGTTCAAACGGTTAGCATGACGCCCATTACGCAACGAGCGGAAAATAGTATCCAACTGTAATGAGGTGCTCTCCAAGTTCCTATCTGTAAAAACCATATCACGGGCATTTTCTGGAAAAGGCAAAAATCACATGAAAGGTAAATTTCAATACCATACATGTGTGGAAAGTAAGATTATGGAAGAACAAAATCCAACTACTGAAAATCACCTGTTTGTCTGGGAAGGGCTGAATTTGATGATGAAGGTCCAATTAACAGGGGATGGCGTGAGGGGGCAGCACTATCACCACTTCTACCGAGTAGATTGTAGATTGATGTAGTTCGCCCTTGACGTCTAGAACCAAAAACTTCAACTGGCATCACATGGAGGGTATCATTAGCAAAGGGATGGTCTCTACCAAAAACCTCAATGTGGTCAAAAACATTTATCCCGTTGATGCCCTCCTCCAGCCGGAGAATAACTCCACCGTCATCTTCCTCCTCATCTTCATCATCTTCCTCCAGCACTTCCTCATCAAACTCATCATCATCAATATCATGATCATCTTGATCCGTGTCAGGATGTGGCAAGTGATGGACTTCATCTTCTTCCAAATCATTATGCTCTTCATCATCTTCATCATCGTCATCATCTACTTCATCCCCATCATCCCCAGACATCTCATCATCTTCATCTTCATCTTCATCTTCATCCAGAGTTTCTTGCCCGTGAGGCTGGATTTCAAATCTTATCCCAACGGTATCCATGCCATTTTCAAGACTCCGCATATCCTCAGAAGTTTCTTGCATATACTCATCCTCAGTAGCAGGAGCAAAACCTCCATCAAGATCCTGGTCATGCTCCATGTCATCTGTAACAGCCTCAGATCGACCATAGTTTTGGATGGCGTTAAATGATTCAGCATGGTCAGCTGACATAGAGTCATGGTTGGATTGAGATCCCATTTCAGTTGACTGGGATATCTCAACAATATTCTCCGTTCTGACAGATTGACTCTGTGTAGAAGGTTTTGTTGAATTCTCACCCTTCCCGGCGCTAGAATCAGCAGAATTGACATGTTCTTTGGTTACCAACTCCAGGGCTTTGATAAGCCCGGTTACAATTTTTGGGGAGTCAGTATGATCCAGATCCAACACTTCAAGCGTTCGAGTCAAAGACCTAACCAATCCAACATCTATAAAAGTGGCAGAAGCTTCTGGGGAGATGTATGAGCCAGTTGGTGTACGAGCAGCAAGTACATCATTTATCAGATCAATATATGTCTGCATATCATTGGTAGGAGGCCGAAAGCCAGCACATGAATCAACGAAGTCACAGAAAATGTCACTGATCTCAGTGAAGACCCTCTTCCTTGCCTCAGCCGAACGAGCGCTAGATGCTACCAAAAACTGGTTAGCCCGAATAGCTAGTTTATGCCTCCAGTCACCATCTATTTTCCTTTCCTTCTTCATATTTCGAGAACTCGGAATGAACTTGTGAAGAATATGGTGAAATATACCTCTAGTGCACAAACCAGCTGAACCCTTCAGAAGATTAGGACCCCGACAACTACTAAGTTCAGAATCCCTTCTAAGTAGCACATGAACAGATGAAGGATACATTAGCACAATCTCAGTCAAAAGCTTCAGGATAAATACAACCTTTGCAAGCAATGCAGATGCTTCTTGGCTACTGGCTCCATTCTCTTCAGAAACAGTGGCTAATGCTTTTCCTTTACCTTTAATTGAAGCAGCATCAATATCCATATCTGTTGATAATGGCACATCATGAAGCACATCAGTCGCTACGTCATCTTTCAAGGGAGGAACAAAACTGCTGATAGAATCCAAAAGAAGCTCAATGACATGTATAAAGCTCTGAGGAGATTTCCGATGAGCTTTGGAACTCTTGGAATTCACATCATGAAGTTTTCCATGTGCATTCCCAGGTGATGATGTGTTTGTACTGCCCAAAGAAACCTTCCCATCACCAGCATGGGGTTTCTCTCTTTCCACTGCTTTCTCCTTCTCCTTTTCTTTCTCTTTGGATTTTTCTTTCTCACGATCTTTCAGCAACAAAATGTAAGGCCTGTCACCTACCATCTCAACTTGGCAAACAGATTGTGCAGCCTGCATAAAAATTGTTGGATCCCGAGAGATGACGGAACTTAAATTTAGAAGAAAATTGCGTGGAGTGACCCTTCCATTTGAATGTCTGTTAGCAGCAGTAACAAGGTTATGCCTTATCTCAGCTTCCATTGCTTGCTGGAGCGTTTGAGGATCTTCAAGGACATGACGGATGATAGTAGCAGCAATATTATCAAATCCAGAAAAGAGGCTACTTGTTGGCAAGGAAAGAAGCAAACTTACACCCTCAGCTTCCAGAAAACAAACAGCTACAGAATGAGTTCTCGTGAGAGTAGAACATAGCTGCAGAACAGCATGCATTGTTTCAGATGGAAGCTGGTTCCTGATACAACTGCAAGCAATCTGAATTAGTCTCTTCTGCTCATCTAAATTTATGTGCTTTGTAGGTGATCCTTGTTCAGATTGCAATCTGTTTTGCTTATCCTCGTCAATACTGATTGAGATTTGCTGATTGCTTACATCACCCCTCTTCAACTGCTCCACAATTTCAGAAGTCAATTTCTGATCCACCTGCAGTAGCCGATCCACAGCAAGAAAAGCTGTTGTTACCCACTTTGGAACCTGGTTTTTCTCTTTGCCAGTTGGACCAGAATCCCAATGTGAAAGTAAATCTGATGCAATTTTAACCAGACCATTCTTTAAGGCAACTTCACGTGATACCGCATCTTCATGAAGAATCAAGGCAAGAACATGAAAGAGAGCATACATCATGGTATTATTTCTGCTATCGGAAATTAGACTGCTTTCCTTCACTTGATCAAGAATAAAGGAGATGACATTAGACCTGTATTGACCATCATTCTGTGAGCATATCAACAGGAGGAGGTCCCGTACTGGAAAAGCTAGAGGCTCTTTCACTTGCAGAAGCTTTGTGCATGTTGATAACAACTCCTCAACTGGAGGAAGTTGGACCATCTCTTCTTCAAGCAGCTGACTATTGGCATTTGCAGCATCTTCCTTTGCATCTGATTCTGAGTTCCCCAAAGACATGGCAAGTGCACGGGCAAGTTCATCATCTTCTGGAGTCTCCTCAGGATGGGAGAATAACCAGTCCATTGCCAATTCCACACTATTTGATCCAACTTGCCTCAGTGCTTCTTCTGCCCTAGACCTGGAAAAACCCATCTCAACAATGGTTGAAATAGTTGTTTCATTCGGAGGAGGACCAGTGACACGGGCACCAGTGCTAATGTTTGCATTTTTCACTTCAACCCCTGAATAAACATGCCTTATGACAGAAATAACAGTACCAATGAAATCATTACTGCAATCAGCAAACTGTGGGTGAGTCCAAACAGGTAGCACTGCCTTCAGCACCATAGACTGGAGCACCTTAACAAAAGTTTCAGCATCCCGTGGAAAAGGTATACCTCCATTTGTCAGAGGATGTGCAAGCAAATTCTTTGTAAAGGGAGACAAAATCAACGACGATGTCACCAGGTGGTCCATAAGTTTACCATAGCTAGCTAAGGGACCATAAATCCATGAATGATCCGCATCTTCTTTATCATCATGTTTTATATTCACATCATCCATCTCCATAGGGGATGCAGGGGTCCTGTTGACAGTGAAGAGCAATTGACTAGTAGCTTCAAATGTGGTCAAAACAGATTGAACAACTCCATGTCCATAGAAGCAATTTAACAGTATTGGATTACAGGAATCTGGTCTGTCCAATAGTATGCCATCAATGAAATCAATAACCTTGCCAAAGTAGCGACACTTGGTTGAAACAGATACCTCAGATCCAGAAGAGCTTACATGACCACCAAAATTCATGTGATCCAATGAAATGGAAGCCAAAGTAGAGGCCACTACTTTGGAAGATGGGGAAACATTCACAGTATCTTCCCGCCTACGAGAAGGAAGCAGCATTGCCTTTCCCAACTCTTGAAACAGATGAGTAATGTGAAAAGAAAGTGATCTCACCATGTCACAGCAAGAATTATAGTAAGATCTCTGCTTGTCATATTCCTTCCTACTGATAGCCCCAGCGGTGTCTGAAGACTCAGTACGATGTGGCTGTTGAGCAGATCCAAACCGGTTTGAAGAACTATCAGTACCTAGTCTTTGTTGAAATCCAGTACTAGCACGACCAAGATCACGGTACAGGTTTATAAGGTCAAAAAACTGGGATTCAAAACTCCATCCAGATGTCCTTCTCCTCAATAATGGATCAAGAAACTGCCTGAAGGAGTTAATTCGTTGCTCTTCAGTTTCATTTGTGCCCGGTTCAGACTCTTGCGACTCAGCAGCAGAACTAGTACCATCATCCTCCATCTCAGGCTTGGCATCTTCAAGCAAAGCAATCTGCCAAAGAACTTCTCGCTGCACCCGTCCAATATCCTCCAGAACATCTTTACTACCATTTCCAAATTCTGTTAGCAGTGCAGTTACCCAGCGGTTCTCTTTTGAGGCAGCAAGAAATAGAAGGAACTCTACAAGGAAAAGTGATGGAAAAATTCCATCATCTGGCATTGTCCTAGGATCAAGCAAAAGGATCCTGAACCCATGTCAAATCCAGTCAAAGCTTTCTTTAAATGGTCCCTAAGGGAGACACAGAATGCATGTGCTAGAGGTGCAGAGTGGTGTTGGGTAAAACCCTTGAAAACCATAGTGCTATGCAAAGCAATAGACATCCCTTCTGATGATTGGACAATGCTAGGGCGTAATAGAAGCCTCAGCAAAATTTCTATTCCCAGCTTCTCCACAAATAACCGACATGTTTCTGCATTTTCCATTGTTCTGTGAAGCAGAACCATCAAATGAAATATACTTAGCTGAATGAACTGCTCATTACTGATTCCTTCTGCACCCAAATCAATGCCACTAGCCAAACAGCAATGCCCTTCATTTTCCTTGTCCTCAGAATCCATTTCCATCTCAGTACTGCCAACTTTCCCTGATGATGAGCAGTTATTGTCCGCAAAGGAAGCAATTTTATCAATAATCTCAATAATTAAATCAACACCAGTGCTTCTCAATGAAGATACATGGCGCAAAAGCTCTTCCACAGCATTTGCCAAAGGAACAATGGCTTCATTCATTGCTAAAACATATTTTTTGCTGGTGAAGATATCAACAAGAAACCGTAAAGCAGAAGTTTCTTTGACAGCCTCTAAGCCTTCGGCATTAAGGCAAATGGCACCAAGACCATTTGGAATGCAGGTAAGAGCCTTTGAGGCAGGAAGAATCCCAGCTATCACTGAGGATAAAAATGCATCTGGAAGACCCATTTCATGCAAAACAGGAAAGCAAGTTGGGTCTTTGTGAATAATCTCACTCATAACAGTCACGGCTGAGTAATAAATGTCACCTCCAAATTTATTTGCGTTCTTATATATCAGTGACAAAGTAGAAGGTAAGGAGCTGTCATGGGAATTGAGGGATCTGGCATTGCTTGCAGGTGCATATGTGGCAGATCCAAGTGCCTTCAAAAGAACCTTGATGAGCCTCTTCTGCGAGTAGACATGATCGTCGCTGTATCTTGAGCATTCGCCAATCGTCATTGAATTATCAATTTCCCCAGACAAGCCAATAATTCTATGTACTTCTATCTGTAACCTCTGAGCCAAAAGCTCTACCCCCTGATTCTCTAAGCAGCGACACAGCTGAACTGCTGTAATCCATGAGCTTTTGTAGGGCTTTCACAGCCAAATAGACAAGGTGCATATGATTGGTATCTGAGTCCTCCAAAAGTGGTAAAAAAGTGGGAACCATTCCAGACCCCCTAACATTGCTCCCTGAAGCTGAGGATGACACAATATGGAGCAAATAGAACTGAAGAAGTGCTTCAACAAAGGCAAGAGAGGATGGATCGTTGGAGTTTTTCAGCGACAAAACAGCTCTCTGAAGCACATTCAGGAGAATCATGCGGTTTCCCACAGCAAAACTGATGCTAGATCCACTCAAAATCCGTGCCCGCTCATGAGATGCTGTATAAGCAGCTAACTGAGCACCTAAGGCCAGCATTGCCAGAGTTCTGATGGTTCCAGGAATAGTTTCTTCTGATCGCACAATCCTAATCAACTCATTTGTATACTCAGGTTCATTAGCGAAAAAGGATGTCAGTTCATCATTTGCATCACCAGACTGCACTAGCACATTGAACGCAAGGAGGCAAATCCTGCTGAACAGCCTGCACACTCTAGGAGAACGAAATGCCCGAGCATATCTGATTCTGGTTAGCAATGAGAATCGAAGGTCAGGAGGTACATTATACTGCTCTATGTACTGTTTCATCAATAACAGATCATCTTCTTTTCGTAAATGCAGATCTGGTGTGTGAATGACTCTCGAACTAGAAGTAGTATTACTACTGTTTTCCATAGAATTATGGCAACTCAGACCATGCAATTCGAAATAAAGGGTGGAGCCAATTCGGTGTTGAGACTTGTCCTGGTCATTTCCTTCATCAGACGGGAACAAACAAAGCCCTTCTTCCTGAGTCCTTTCATTTGCCATAACACATGAATATAAGCCCAAGCCTTCCTCCTTGCTCCCCCAGCCCTGTGCTAGCGACAGGAGATAGCTGTTTACCGAGCCACATCCAATCAACTTCCCACTTCCATGAAGCTTGGACGGATTGATTTTCACTAGTGCTGAAAGAGTCTCCAATGTAGCTATAAGAACCTCTGGATCTGTGGAAGCTAAAAGGAGCTTGAAATGCTGAGGGAAGTCACCAATATAAATTTATTAGACAAGAAACATTGCAGAAGCTTTTGGAAGAGTAAAAACTCATACAAACATTGAACATAAATACATTTTCAGGTGGCTTAAAAAAAGTGCAGATGAACCACTAATAAGCAGAATGAGAAACTCCATCAGAAACATACCTCTAAACCATCAAATGAACTCTTGTTATGGCAATTCTCTAGAATTATTTGCATCACTCTTAAAATTTGAAGAACGGCATGCTTTGGGAATGGACCATCGTCTTCTGAAATATTATCTGACAATGAAAGGTCATTCCTACCAGACAAGTATGTCTTGAAGTATGTATCAAAATGCAGAAACAGTGGCCTCCAATGATGAAAATTCCCCTGAAGTTAAAGCAACAAATAAGATATATGATAGAAAGGGGGAGAACAAATAATCTTTGTACAGCAGCAAAAAGCATGCCTTTACCTTACTGTACTCCCAACGAAAGCCAGAAAGGGGTATGGCTATGTCTTGCAATGGACTCTGAATCACCTTGTCAATGAATGCTTTAATTTTAGGAGGCTGCAAGTAACAGTAATGGTCAGGCTTTGTTTGGAGCAAAATATACATACATACACACACACACACACACACACACACACACACACACACACATATATATATATATTAGGTAGACTAACACCACATATATTATCCTCCAAAATTCTTAAAAGAAGTCACAAGCCAGCTCTAGAGGGGCAGATCTCCCTCCTCGTGACTGATGCATGGCAAACAACATATCTCAGTAAACTCAACACTGAGTAATAGCACTAAACAAGAAGATCATCCCTTGTAATACACTGAGGTAAACAAGAAGATCATCCCTAGGAATACAATGAGTAACAGCACTTAAGTGACAATGACTGTCCTTGTGCTTGACCTAAAATTGCCTGGTGTGGTGGGTTCCATGTTAAACAATTACCAGAATGGAGCCAAATCAGAAAATCTAGTAACAGCAACTTGTATCTCGAAGAAGTATATAAACTTTAGTTAAAAACTGAATAATAAAATGCAATAGAAGATTTCAAAGGGCTTAAAACAAGGGATTAAAGCATGTAACTTTATGAACTTTTAAACTTCAACAAAATGAATGAGGGGCATCTGTATAACAGATTTTCATATATTTGAGATAGCAATATATCAAAAAGTACATATAAACAGGATTTAAAGAACATAATAGTGTTTTGTTACTTCAAGATGACACAAGCTGCTATATGAAATTACACACTTCAATGAATAAAGAGAGCAATTGGTAATGAAACGTAAAATATGCAAATATAATTTAGCTTCGAAAAAGAATTGAAGGAAGATGTACAACAGATTTTCAGGAAGAAAAAAATTTGTTAGTCACGTATCAAAATTTACATATAAATATGATTTAGATACCATAATAACATTTCATGACATTGTGATGAAGCAAGGAATGTGCTGCTATCTAGCAATTAAGCATCTTAAGCAATAAAAGAAAAAACCAGCAACAAAATAATGAAATAAAACACAATGCAATCGACAAACAAATGATGTAACAGCACACAAGCATTCAGATATGGGTGACTATAATTGAATATGATGAACCACTTTAAATTATCTAGAGGCATTAGAGAATACTTAAAGGTGAGCAGGGGAATATAAGGCGAGGGTAAGGATTTGTTATATAACAAATCTGAGTTAGACCATACAGGTTCGACAATACCAAGAAAGGGTCTAGGAGTCGCAAAGTAAGCAGACATGCAATGGATTGATTCATCAGCTGCTATTCATTGGATTGGTAGGCCATGTTGTCTTAATTATGATGTTCTTTTCTTCAGAGGATACCCAGTGCTTATCATTTTAATCTCATTCAATTCTTTCTAAAAATATATTCTTTTTTATACCAAAAAAAAGAGAGAATTATTCACCATTTCCGATCCTAGAACATCATTATTGTACACAGATATGAGCATTCGGTCCTACTGGTCTGCAGAAAGTATACAAACAACAGCTGCCCTGAATTGTAGAACTTAAAATGCACAATTTCTTCCACAAATTGAGATCAGTCAGTTTAACAAGTAATGGGATTTTTCTATAGCATCAAAACCACCTACTATTCATTATTCAAAATGGCATGCTATTCATGCTTCTAACATGCATTTAGTAAAAAGATGGTACTGAATGAAACACGCCTTCCACACAACAGTTACACTAGATCCTGACTATACAGCATCACGGTCAATGTCCAAACCTCAACCGTACTAAAATATCCTTTTATCTGACCACAACTTGCACATCCAACACAACATCATTACCCAAGATGCTCAACTGCACAGACTCAATGGACTTGTGTTAAGTAGATGTGAACAAACTTCATCCGAGAAAAATTTAATCGAATAAACTCAGGTAAAAGCAGAACATTTGTTCTCTTTCTGTTTCTGGATTTCAACCAACCTTTAGATCCACTAGAGCTTTTTGTTCAAAACCAAACTTTCATCCTTGGATTTCTAGCAAATGAGATATAGCTACATTGCTAACCTTCTCGGATTATATGACTAGCCCTATTAAAAACTATCAGTCTTGTACCAAAAAAGAACTTCAATCAACCCCACATCAGCACGTTAAAACCATAAAGCTCCTTCCTTGAGATTCAAATTCAAGTAATAATTACAATTTCAATGACCAGTCACAGACAATACTACAGATATGTATTATTTTATGCAACCTTCCTCCCAACTAATAAAACAACAAAAACAGAAAAATAACTACCACTAAAAACAATTTATGTCTCCAATTACAAAGTCAATATGCAGCCACTGTGGCTAAAACAGATTAAACAGCCATAAAGTAACATCGTTTATCAAAATCCCACTATAATCATCATATTAAACAGAAAGGTCAACATAAAACCCTAATGGATTCGCCAAACACTATTTTAAATTTTAAAACCGATAAGAAATCAGTACAAAGAATTAAAACTTTAAAACAAACAAAAATGAATAAATAAGTAGGAAACTTACAGTTTCCGAGTCTAATTTTACAGAGGGACCGATGATGCTTTCTCCGGACAAAAGCTGCCGTAGTCTCGACGGCAAACTCGATCGTATCGTTGCCATTAGACTTCCACTTTATTATAATATACTTTTCAACTACTACTACAACTGCAATATTAAAAAAAAAAAAAAAATTCAAAACCACAAAATAAAACCAAAAATTGAAAGAATAAAACGGAATCAGAATCGGAGAGGAATCTAAAAGAAACCCCTGAGATTGATTATAAATAAAAAGAGAACAGAAAAGAAAAAATAGATCAGGAGAGGAAGTAACCTAAGAAGGATGCATACACATGAGGAGAAGAGAGTGGAGTTAAGAGAAAAAGGCTAGAGATTGATGTTCTTTTTTTAGAGAGAGAGAGAGAGAGAGAGAGAGGCGAAACCCCAAAGGCGAAGAGGGGTGTGGGGTGGGGTTGTGTTTGTTCTGCGTGTTTGGGGTCTGAGGGTTCTTTTTGGTTTTAATACTGTCAAAATTGCGTAATTAGGATGCGTCTATGGGTTTGAACAAGTAAATCATAATATAGTCACTATATTCTTGCGTAATTATTAATTGAGTCCCTTTACTTTAAAACAATCTAATTTACTCTCGACCTTTTCTATCTCTATTTGTAGCGTGGTCCTTTTTTAGTTTTTTATTTTACTGAGAAATTAAATTGGAAATTTTATGTTAGCTGAAAAATGTATAATTTTTTTAGTAAATTTATACTGTTTCATAGTTGAAGTTAGTCAAGGGATTAATTTTGATATTCAAACCTGAAGGGACTAATCTGTTATTTATTAAGATTTCATGGACTTAATTATAATATACCAGGTTCTAAGGGATGAGTACGTGCTGTGTCTTGTGTGTAGTGAGAGCTGACACATGCTCCAGTCGTTCGTATGCTAAGGAAGGAGATTTGTGTAGAAAGTTAAGGCGGTTTATTGAGTGAGCTATTGGCTTTATTTTTATGGAACAATGCATTCTGAAAGTTGTCTGAAAATTAATACTAGTTTTACGAAATAGACCCGGTTTTTGGTTATCTTTATATAATCTAGATTTTTCTATTGAATAATTAATGAATTCGAGTATAATTTTTTTTTAATTGAATTAAGCAGCATAATAGTACTAGTTTTAAGATTTTTTATCAAATGGATTTTACACCGAATATTCTATTAGGATAAATACAAGTATGCCCTACAATATATTAATCAGTCAATGACTTAACCAAGTCGTGCAATAGGGTTTTTTATTTCCTCTCCTTTCTAATTATATAAAAAAAATTATACTATCAGTTCTTGTCCTAAAATCTTTCAATAGCGCTGGTGTAAATATTTAGATTATACGTCTAGTCTAGTCGTCTACCTCAAGCGTTGCAACCAAGGCCAATAATAATTTATTACAATGGCATCAGCAATGATATTGGGATCCAATAGAATTCGAATCTGAATAAAACCTAAATTATAATGGCATGGATGGAATATGATGATAATAATAAAGGTATATTTTAATTCTTTTCGAAATTTAAGGGATTTTTTTAATTTTTTTATTAAAATTTCATTTGCATCAATTCCTTTCTAGAACTTTCATCAAAATTTCAATTATTTCCTTATCTCTATTAAATTAACATAACTAATGATGTGTCATTTTTTTTAATGTTTCTATTGACTTCTTAGAGTTTTTTAAAATATATTAATTAAGCAGGGATTTCTCAATCATTATAATTATCTTGTTTTTTTAATTAGGATTATCTATTATTTTTTGATCTTATATTTCTCAAATTTATAAACTCTTAAAATACAAAGAAATGTAGATAAAAATACAAAAAACCAAACTATAAATCTTGCATATTTTAATAAAATCGTAACGATCTAGTACAAAGTTAATATATCTTCTTGATAAAAAGAAAAAAAGTTAGCATAACTTGATATCATTTTTTATATTCTCATTTTAAAACAAAAGGAAAAAAAACATGTGTTAATTGTGCAAAATATAAAGTTTAATATAATAAAACTAATAACACTAATACACTATATATTTTAGTCCAAATCATAATTGAAATTTCTATATTAGTCATAGGAATAATGTTTTGCTATAATGTTTGCGGTAATGTTGCAAATGAGTTGCTTTCGGAGAATTTTGACATTATGTTTTGTCAATCTTGATAAATGTTGGAGATGTTACCGAAATAGCACAATCATGCTCCAACTTTTGCACGGCATGGAATGCTAAGTTTTGCTCAATTCGACACCACAAGATACTTGGCGAACTACAAGCTCAATTTCATATGCATGTCATGATGTAACCGCACGCTAATGCAATTAGCTAAGGACTCCACTTATTGGTGATATGTGAGTAATTGCATGTTATAAATATGCCATCATAGCATGTCATGAATTCACTTGTGTGAACCGAGACGAGTGTGTGGAATTGGGAAAAGTTACGGGAACATAAACAAACGAATGTTTTAATCACTTAGAGCCCACGGATCCGATGAAAAAACCCATTTTGCATCTTTTACCTCCTTTTCTTTTTTTGTTTATGGCTTGCATTTTTTGTCCTCCAGCGAGTCCTTAAAACTTGCCGTGTGTGCGCAAGCAAAAGTCTTATCTTATATCAATGCAAGAGGAAACGAGAACCGGTATATTTGATTGGCAAAATCTCAGCAAGTATAGAAAACAAAATCATTTCAAATGATCTAATTCCTTGAGCATTCAAATATTAATTTAAAGGAATTTAGTTTTTTGATAGTTTGACGTGAGTTTTTAATATAGTTTAGATAAAAGATTTAATTTCAATTAACAAATAGGTGAGTTTGAGATTACTTATTATCATTGAAGAAAAACAAAAATCATTTCTACCAATGATTTCAATATGTTTTCATTAATTTTTTATTATATAGAATTTGGTTTGATTTTAGTTAATTTTTCTCTTAATCCCACAAAACACATGTAATTTGGTAATATTGTTAAATAAGAGAAATTTTATACTACTCACGAGTAACTACCAATACTTATTCTTTATAAAACAAAAAAAATTAAGTTAAGTTGTAAATATTTTTATCACTTTTGATAAGTTTAGATGTAATTTTTTCTTATTTTTTTATCCGTTTTTTTCTTAAAAGATAAGTTTATGGAACAATTATGATAAGTATATAATAATTACTTGTGGAATATTTTAAAATTTATCGGTTAAAGAGTACAAAAATCAAATTAAATATTTCTCATCCTAGGGAAAGGCATTATGAAAGTCATCACACCGAGTCTATACTTTTCAAGTTGAAATGTGTTGATTTAATTTGATTGTTTCATACTTTCATTGGTTATTAACATTTTAAGGTTTATTTTTTTCTTCCGTAAGTCTTCAAGGAATTGCTTGAAAAGGATGATGATAGGCGATTGGCGCAAGAAATCTCCTGTCGTGGTGTACATGAGTTGTGACTTGCGGCATGTGCATATGTGTGCTCCCATTCAAATTGTTGCGGATTCTACTCGCTTTTTCAATACGAGCAATTCCAAAAGGGAAAGTCACCATTGTTTTGTAGCTCAAAGCTCAAAAAGATTTCAAAGGAAAAATGGCTCTCATTTGTATCAAATCGTCGAAGGCGGAGGCCTTCTTCCTTTTTCTTTTCTTTCTTTTTTTTACAAAAGCATTAGTTGGATCAAGATATAAATCTTGATAGCATCGATGCGACCATGCCTATAGATCATGACCGTGAATATGTGAGGTGCAAGCAATTGAGAAATTTCTCTCGAAAGCTAATTTTTAGCTACACACATTTTCTTGACACGCAATGGAAGGAATTATTAAGTGAATTAGAAACATGCCATTGATCCTAAAAAAGAAACATAGGCATGGTTTTTCATATGTCGGGTTAGTTTGATCTAAACTAAACATCCGATAAATATATAGTTTTAAATCACGAAAACGATTGTAAAAACGATTTTAATTTATGATTATGAATTGTAGCTTATTACAATAGTAAAATAACAATATGGTAATTGATATCGAGAATGCATTTGTTGATGAGCATCATTGTTGGCATGGCATGCAAGATGATGGCACACGGAGGCACTTAGGTTCAATAACAAGAGTTCGTGCATGAGAGCTTCAAGTCAACTTTGATCTTAATTCGAGTATTTTAAGAGCCCCATACCACATTGGATCACTTGTTTGTTAGTTGGAGCTTGCATGGCCAAATAGAAGCTTATTTGGGCTTGATTTAAGCCTTGGAAGGATTTGGTCCTATAAGGTTTATTTGCTTAGTAGTTGCTTTATTTTTCTTATTCTATTTAAGCTATGTATTTTATAGGAATTAGATAATTATTCCCAATCAATTATGGATTTGGATTGTTTTCTCTATTTAGAGTAGAATTTTGACTAGAGACCGTTTGGAAAAAAAAAAAAAACCAACTTGATTTAGGATTTTCTAGTCATGCTTGCCCCTAGCTATATTTAGGAATGTGTTTTAGCGAGAAAATTTTATAATACACAAGGAGTAACTAGTGATATGTACGGTAGTTACTCCTTGGATCCACTTTGAGGAGAGAGATAGACACATAAAAAAAGAATAAAATTACGTCCATACCCACCAAAAGTGATAAGAAGATTTCGACGTCCGCTCAAATTTTTTTTATTTTCTCTCTCTATTTTTGTGTGTCTATCTCTCTCCTCAAAGTGGGTCCAAGGAGTAAGCTGCTGTACATGCCACTAGTTACTCTTTGTGTATTATAAAATTTCTCTCGTTTTAGCTATATAAAAAAGATTTATTATTTTACATTGAATGATATTGGATTGTCATCAAGGCAAGGTTGAAGGTTCTATGTTTCTTTTTGGTTGAAATTTCAAGCTTGGAGGAGCATGCATTGGGCCGAATATTTATACTCTATTGGAATTTTAGGTTTATTTATCTTTATTTATTTTCTTGTTTTGATCGAATTGTTTTAATCCATCTTTATCGGATATGGATTATTATTTTATTTGGGTTTTCATTAAGTTTGGATTGGCCTTTTAAATTAATCAAGTCTAATTAGATTACGAGTTTATTGTAGTCCTAGTTTATTTCGGATTGGGCATAAGTTAATAA